AAGTTAGCTGTCTTGAAAGAGTTTGATTAAACATATTTTGCAGCTTTTTTAGGATTTCATGTCTGTTCAAATACACTGATATAATCATAGGTTAAAATTAAAGGCAGTGATTGATGCGCGCAACCCATGTGCCGAGATATAAGACCTCGACGTGGCCGACCCGGGTTCGAATCCGAAAAAGTGGTCTTTTGCCGCATGTCTCTCCCCCCGCTCCCTGTAAGCTCACTGTATGAAAAAAAAAAAAAGAGCCGTTAGTGCCATAAAAACAATCCTAGGCTGTAGTTTGTCTCGTAGATTCTGAAAAATTGTCTAATTTTCTAAAAAGTTTGTCATTGCTTTTTGTTTCAATTTCAGAGATTTCAAAAATGTTTTTGTCCTTTTCCAGTCGGCTCCCTCTGAAAGGCCGAGTTATGCTTCAGTGAGAGAGCGATTCATTTTTCACGTGTGTGTATACGTGCGTGCACATTCAGTAATGAGGTTACTAGGCTTAGGGATTGTTATGCTGCAGTCGAAGCTGTATGTGTCCGCTCCGACAGATGTAGGCCAGAGCAGTTGTATAAGGACTGCTGTAAGACAGGGGCGGAGCAAAACAAATCACAGACATTCAAAAGACCTTTATAAAAGGAAGCTTGCTTATATGCTCCTAAAGGCCTAATTAAACCTGTGAACACTGTTCAAAAGGGGTATTTATGCAACATCTACCAATCATGCACTCCTAATCACAATTTCAGGTCCTGTTTGAGTTTTTTCTAAGAATTCTCCTGCTCCACTTTTTGGTGTTATGCTGCTGTTTCTCTGCTTCTTAGGCTTTTTGATCAGCCACCTAGCTTTAACCCACCAGCACAAATTGTGAGTAGGCAAAAATTAAAAATGTTTACCAGTTATATAAAAAAAAAAAATCAGGAATGCTTTGATAAGAAAAATGTCTGAAAATGTTGAAGATCTAGAATTAAATGTGAGTTTTACTTTATGAGGTGGGACTGCCAATCTATCCAAAAGGGCATCACAGGGCTCTGTTGTTGGACTTTTCCTTTTTTTTTTTTTTTTTTCTTCATTCTTACTGCCATTCGGCTCCTTTTTCCAGAAAAAAAGAACATCTTTTTCCATAAAGAAAAATTGCTGGCTTCTTTATGGAGCCTCCAGATTGCACATCTTCACCATCAGTTTTCTAAGGAGGCTTTTTTACACACCGGCTTTAAACTCTAGCAGGAATTATTGACTCTGACCCCATTGGTTTTTACCGTGCTGTATGCCTTACTGGTCTAAATTGTTGTACTCCTCTGTTTTTAAATGTTACTGAAGGTTTTAGTGCTTTCATGTTCTTTCCCATTCAATCAGGGTTTAAAATCATCACATCGCTTCTGGTTCTCCCTTACAAGGCTTAAATCTAGTTAACTACCCAACAGTTTTATCAGGGTTGACTCTTTACTTAAATCCTTATATTTGAATCCTATGATCAAAGTCTGAACTGTTCCCATTACTAATCTTTGCAGAGGTTCTGTCTGACAGCTACCTGCTTTTAGCTCATTAAGAGGCAGGCACGTGCCGTCATGGTGTGCACTACTTTGTCTCTCAGCTCTGTCTGCATTAGGATTTGGAACAAATGGAGCTTTAGCTGTAAGCAGAGTCTGCTCAGGTCCAGTGATTAAGCTACGAGTTAGACAGAAGGCAACAGAAGTTAGCTGAGCACCATGTGGTTGCTGTTATGTTCTGTATATAACCCTGCACGTTTAGAATGATTAAACATCCAAATTAGGCTACTGATGTTAAACTGTTAAACCTGATATAATACATATAGGAATAGAGGTTAATGGAAGCAGAAATGCTTTAGAGGAGGACCAGTTTAAATAAAAATTATAAGGCTTTTTTTGTTTATTTTTTTCTTTTACTTGAACTGCATTTGATATAATTTAATATGATTAATGTAAAGTATAGCACACAAAGTACTTCCACAGAGTAAAATACAGGTAATTAGGCTGCACAGACATTTACACTTACAAAAAATCCCTTTTCCTTGTATTCCAGTGACCATGACCCCAACACTGTGCGTCATTGCAGGATGGAAACGCCAATCTAATGTTCAACCAGTAGTGATGTTGTTTTTCTGGACAGATATGATGCTCCACTCCCTCCTGTACAGTGTTATAGGCAGCTCTCTGCTTCTAAAGCAGTCAATGAAATTACTTTACAATCAATTACTCCATAGTCAGCATACAACCTTTTCCAATAAATAACTTATTGGAGTATTGAAGATTCTATCAAATCCCAGAGATGTTCAACTTTTTGATTGGTTTTATTCAGTTTAAACACATTGTTTTATTTTTTTCCATTCAGATTACTGGATCATCATTTAGTGAACTATACCCTAACTAAAATAAATTAATAAAACCTTTCTTATTATGTAGTATAAATCATCAAAGGCAACTTATAATAAGTATTCAGGGTTTCTGTAACTCGTAAATGATTTTTAAAATGTATTTACATAAAGATCTTTAACATATTAACTGCAGCCTGCAGCTTCTTTATAACACATGAGATCACTTCTTTTATTGCATATGAATCAACACATTAGAGTCATTTAAAAGCATAAGTTTTCTAGTAGCAGCACTTTAGTACTTAATCCAGTTTTGTCATAAATCTTAATCTTAAAGTTATCAATCTTAAAATGAAAGGACTGCTTATATGTAATATGTGGTTAGATATTATGCNCCACATTTTCATACACGCTATATTTGTAGATGATAAAGCTCACAGAAATGGTCGCAAACATGAATCAATCTTAAACTATAAATGACAGAATTCAGTGCTAGATATTTTATATCCCTACTTTTTTATTTTTTAAATGAATAACACAAATATCAGGAACAGCAAGAAGGGATACATTTTGTTTTATTATAACATAAAATTGCATGAGATTTTTCGTGCTTGGCATTAGAAAAAAATAAATGACTTTAAGCTTTGCTATATTTTAGAAAAGTGCAACTTAGTTTTTTTTTTTAAGTTCATCAACTTTGTAGACTGCTTTAAAACAGTTATCAGCTAAGTGCTGAACATAGTTGAAAATAATAAAACAGATGTAAAATTCTAGTATGCTTTGGGAAATATGAAGTATTCATTAATTTTTCTTTTTATTTGTTTTTTTTTACATTTGGTAACATTTTTCCCTCTTAAATGAAAATTGCTTTTTATGAATGCTGTACTGTTAAGCAACATAAAAGAACTTTGTTATCAGGAAAAAAATATAGTTCCACAGCATTATTTTCTGTGTTCAGATAAAACAGTCAAACGTTGCATAGAAAAGTTTCAACAGAGATTCAGACCTGTAATTCTTTTGTCTAAAAGGAAGGCAAACCACAAATTCTTCCTCATTCTGTACCCAAACTCCTAAATTACATTGCATGTGCCACTTAAAAACATTCTTCTTACCCGAAGAATCTGTCTAGTTTGCATAATTTGGCTCAGTTTTCTTTGACTATAGAAAGCTTCAATAGCGCAGGTTCACAGAAAAACATGACATTATTTCTGGTGCGCAGAGAACGAACAGATAATCACTTTTGCATCTGTCTGGCATTAAAACTGAGGCTCATGTTTCCTCTCTCAGCTCCAGCTGATAGTCGTCATTCCTCCTCAGAGACCAGCAGGTCAGCTCAGTTCAAGGTGCTGCTATATGACATTTTGGAGCATCAGTAAGCTTTCACACATAGTTTTTGACCAAAAGCTGTAGTTGGTGACCAGTTGAAGCGTGCATCATGATCAGCCTTCAGGCAGCAACTCTGAGCTGGAATAGCTCAGACTTTGCTGTTTTTATGTCATGTTGCACACTGGAAACTCTCAGCCAAGACTTTGAATGCTCTGAGATACAAATATGACACACATGTGCCTTTTGATTATGTTTATTTTGTGGAGAGTGCAAATATTCATTTTAACACCTCATGTCTCATTTTTAAATACTAACATCTGTAAAAACGAGTCCCTTTAATCAACTCCTCCAAACTGCACCCAACAAACTCTTGAAATATATAGAAAGGTATGATGAGACCAAAGAAAAGGACCCTTTTAATTTTTTCATCAAAGATGGACAATTTTCTTTTCTTGTAAAGCAAACTGGTACAACATTACGGCCAAGTTTACTCTAACATGAAAGCTGGACTTGGAAAAATAAATCCCTGTTTGTTGAGGGTGAATGGTAACTGAAAGTTATATTACATTACAATTAAGTGCTGCAAAGATATGGCAAATTGATCATGTTTATTTTCTTGCAGGGTTGTTTCATGGCAGAGACCCAAAGCAGGTTCTTCCTTTAGGTTTAGTGACCTTTTTACATCCAAATGTCTCAGAGTTTGCTGGTTTAGCAAACTGTAAATATACTCACTTGATGTGCAAAGGCGGCACAGGATTGAAAGAAATAAGTAAAACAGCAACTGAAATGATGGAAAGCTATTTGATTTAGCTTCCTTTTGAAATGTGATGGCAGATTTTAACTATTGACAGTCAAAATATAATATAAACAAATAGGGAGTGGACTTACGGTCAATTATATAGTTGAAAAAACAATTTCTCTCACACTTAGTCGAAAGTTGTGCTATAAAACTGTAGAATTTAAACACAAACTATAATAAAACTGCTTTGTCAGTGTAAAATATTACAAATGTTGGACTGAAAAGGCTTCAGTTACATCTGTGGTTTCTGCTTTCAATCATTTTTGTACGTTTGTTGTACATTTAAAATTCAGCTCAACCACCACCATAAAAATGGAAATGGAAATTTTGCAATATGTCCAAATGGAAAGAGCAAATCCATAAAAATAATAATGAAAGAAGAGCTAAAAGGCTTATTTCACTTTTTTTTGATAAATACCAAATTGGAAAGCAATAAATGAAAATTGTTCATGCTGAAGTATTTTTTTCAAGCAACTTTGATTACACTTTCAATTATTTACCATTATTTCTCACTTCTGTTTTTCATCCCATTTTGACCTTTTTTTTCTATCCCATCTGCAGGTTTTTGCTCCAGTGTTTGGAGGACCTGGATGCAAGTCTCCGAAAGCTCAATTCCCGTCTTTTTGTCATCAGGGGCCAACCAGCAAATGTGTTCCCTCGCCTCTTTAAGGTCAGCACAGAGGCAAACTGCCCGCCTTCTTAACCTCCAACAAAACTTTACCTCAAACATGTCGACGCAATTTTCTAGAAAAAATATTGGTTAAAAATTGTATTTTTTTTACAATTTGCCTTACTCAGGAGTGGAAGATCTCTCGACTGACCTTTGAATATGACTCAGAGCCGTTTGGGAAGGAGCGAGACGCCGCCATCAAGAAATTGGCCATGGAGGCAGGCGTGGAGGTCATCGTCAAGATATCGCACACGCTCTACGACCTGGATAAGTAAGATATTGAGAACATATGAGAGATGCTTATTAAAAAAAAGTACATATATTGGAACCACATAGTGATCTGTGGTGGTATTCCCATATTGGTTCCGCCTCTGGTGAACCCAGGAACATCGACAGCTGTGTTCAGCTTTGCAAAGTGATAAACACTGCCAGTTGCTTTGTAAATCCATGTCCACCATGATGAGGTGAAACCAAGACCAGCAGATTGCATGATGTAGGAGTCTTTTGCCCGCCATGCGAAATGTTTTTGCTGGCTGAAGCGGACGAAACTGGTGAAATTTTCAAAGATTTCGCGTTTGGTCTGAACACACTTTTACAGTTGCATATCTGTTTTGAGGATATTGTGCTATTACCACAATGTTCTGTGTTTGACTTCCTTTTCCACACTTATATCTTGAGTTGCCTTCAAGTAAATATACGTGTATATTCCTACTTGTCATACGTGCCTGTAGAGAGGAGTTTATAAGGGTCATTTAAAGAAATCAAGCATAATGATGATGAACGTTAAGCAAATAGTGGAGGTATCGGAAAAGTATCGGGATCTGCAGATATCCAAATTCAAGATTATGATCGGGAGTGGAAAAAAGGTGTAATAGTGTACCCCCAAACAAATGGTAAAAATCTTGAAGTGCACTAGAAGTATACAGTGTTTTAAAAGGGGGCATATTAAAAAATATATATTTTTTTTATTTTAATATGCCCCCTTAAACGTTGATCTTTCTAGTTTCTGTCCTGAAAAAATCTAATGGTGAAATTAGTTTTATGGAAAAAAAAAATTTCTTCTGAATGAGGGATTTGCTACTTTGTATTCATGTGTATTTATTTTTCTGTGTCTAAAGGATCATCGAGCTGAACGGTGGACAGCCTCCCCTTACCTATAAGCGGTTCCAGACCCTGATAAGTCGCCTTGACCCACCTGAGATGCCCGTGGAGACGCTGTCAGACACCTTAATGGGCGGCTGCATCACCCCCATCACTGAGGACCACGGGGAAAAGTATGGCGTCCCATCCCTGGAGGAACTGGGTGAGAAAGCAAACCAACTACATGATTTTTAGATGTAACAGGAAAACCTCAGTGCTGATCTGATCTAGAACCATTATAGGAGCTGATGATTGGGCCACATTTTAATTATTTACTGTTTGAAATCACTAAAACTAGGTTTTATGTTTTTTGACATGAAAAATAGGTTTACAGAAAAGGTACACCTTCTGTATTCTTAGGTATCTTTTGCACAAAAGAATTTAAAAAAAATGGGAGCAATATTACCATAAATGATTTCCTTAATCTAATGTTTAGTGTTAGGCTCATGTTGTCTGTCAGGTAAGTTTCTCTATTTAAAGCTTTTCCTTCTCTAAGACTTTCTTATCGGATTATTCCAGTTCAGCTACTTAAAGGTACCATTCAGATGTTGGTTTTCCATTCACAGACTGTTGGTCCATTCATGCATTTCGATATCCTGCAGCCATCTGTAGTTAACACCTGCCACTCTCTCACTGATCTATGAGGTGTTTAACCTTTGAACGGTAAAAATATATATATCCGGTTTCCCCAGTTTGTTCTACGCAAGCTGTTATTTATCCCATAAATTAATCAGAGGCCACTTTAACCTTCTTATCCCGACTCGGTCCAGGCGTCATGTTTTCCGATCGGAGTGCCAAGATCTGTCGCCTCTCAGGTTCTGGCATTTCTCCCACCATCTGCCAGCTACAGCTGCACCTCGTTTTGCTTCTTGGGACTTTAGGGTGTCATTCTGGCCGTCTGCAAATACTTCTAAGAAAAAACTGCCCAGATTCTGGACGGATTCTGCTTCTAAGGAAAAACTGTTTTGGGAGTCTTGCCACATCAGCATAGTTTAAACTTCAAAACATGCTGCATAAAGAAACCCATGTCACTTATGTTTGTACACTTACATGTATACTTTATTTATACCATCTTTTTTTAGTAGAAGGGAAATTGGGGATCAACCCTTGACGTTACTTTAAACAGTTGTTTTTTTTATTTAAAGTAAATGTTGTAATCCATTCATATAAGGTTGTCAATAGAAGAAAAAAAGTGTTTAGTATGATTAAGGTTTTATTACTACCTGGACTCTTTCACTTTTATTCCATTACCTGAAAGATGAATTTCCTAAACGGAGAGCCTTTTTTTCATTGATTGGTACAAATTCCCCATGAAGCAGTTTATTTAAAGTCCATAATCAGTTTTGATTTTAATCAAGAATTTTTAGATTAATTAAAAAAGCTGTTTTATGACGTTTTCCAGAATCCCCTAAGAACCATAGATTTTTAAATAAATCTGATCTAAATTTATCAAGATATCCCCCCAAAACAAGCTGTGAAATGGAAATATTTTCTAGTAATATTTTCCTAAAAAAAAAATAAAAAATATAAAATGTTGAAGCTAAGGCTTTTTTCTTATCTATTTAATGTCTTTTCAGGTTTTGATACAGAGGGCCTCCCTTCAGCTGTGTGGCCGGGAGGAGAGACTGAAGCTCTGACAAGAATAGAGCGCCATCTGGAGAGAAAAGTCAGTATAAAATCCTCATGTTAGGGTTTTTTTTATCCTTGATTTGTAGTAATGTGCTTTCCTTCATCAAAGTGATGAAAAATTTTTGTTAGATATTTGATATGGTTTCCAACATTAAACCGAATATGAAAGGCCAGTTTCTACTGTTTTTACCTCCTCAGATGTTCAACTTAAATTTTTTTAACTTAAATTATTTCCATCATGTCTGAATCCATCTTTCCCTTTTTCTTTCCTCCTGTACGGCTTCTTGTCGTCTCTTTCTTCTTCAGGCATGGGTGGCTAACTTTGAGCGTCCCCGGATGAATGCCAACTCGTTGCTGGCCAGCCCAACAGGCCTCAGCCCCTACCTGCGCTTCGGCTGCCTCTCCTGCCGACTCTTCTACTTCAAACTTACTGACCTCTACCGCAAGGTGGGTACCCAGACTTACAAGATGAGCTGTAACAACGGAATTTTCCATATTTGCAAAGCTTTGAAAGAACTACTTTAAATTTCAGTATAGACACACACAGACAAAAAACATCCTCAAGGAAACAGAATAGATAACAGCCAAGTAGACAATTTTCTAAATATCTTAAGATTTTAGCAATTTATCAATTTGTTTTATACTGCATTTTAAAATCTGAAATAAATGGAGCAAAGTTCACAGACCTAATACCTTATTTAAAATGCATGTTTGTTTATTTTTCTACATTTTTGTGTTCAAATAACTTCTAGGTAAAAAAGAACAGCTCTCCTCCACTCTCCCTGTATGGCCAGTTACTATGGCGCGAGTTCTTCTACACCGCAGCAACCAACAACCCACGCTTCGACAAAATGGAAGGAAACCCCATCTGTGTCCGCATTCCTTGGGACAGGAATCCAGAGGCCCTCGCCAAGTGGGCCGAAGCCAAGACTGGCTTTCCCTGGATAGACGCTATCATGACGCAGCTGAGACAGGAGGGCTGGATTCATCATCTTGCCCGGCATGCCGTAGCTTGCTTCCTTACCAGAGGGGACCTGTGGATCAGCTGGGAAGAAGGGATGAAGGTGAGAAAGCATGAGTCAGGTTTCTTTTTAATGACATCACTAATGAAAGAACATCCCTGATTCAGAAGAAAGGCTTTCTGGTTCTATTTAAATTGGTCTTTCTTTTGAAATTTTCCATCTGAGCAGTGAAAACATACATTTCTTGGTGTCTTTTTTGCTAAAGTTTTGTTATTTCATTGAGACATTTTTTTGTGCTTCCAAAGTAACTGAGCCTCTGAGTTTACATTTTCCTTATTAAAATATAAAAGATATGCCTACATGACTGAGGTAATTCCAACTCCTTACTCTTCACGGTGGCATATGATTGTTTAACGGTGCGTTCAGTTTGTAAACGAGAATCAGCGTTTATTCAAAAAACTCTTAAGTTTTCACCGTAACATAAGGATGCCACCTCGTATTCGTTGTCTCTCGTATCTGTAGAGACTCCGGGACTTCCCTCTATGCAACACCCCCTCCAGCTCTACTGGGGGAAGCCTGATGCGCTCCCAGGCCAACCGAGAGACATAGTCCCTCTAGCGTGTCCTGGGTCATCCCCTGGGTCTCCTCCCAGTGGGACATACTTGGAACACCTTCTGAGGGAGGCGTATAAGGGGCAATCGATAAACATGTGCAAGCCTCCTCAGTTGACTCCTCTCGATGTGGAGGAGAAGTGGCTCTACTCCGAGGCCCTCCTAAATAACTAACTCCTCACCCTATCTCTAAGGGAGAGCCCAGGCACCTTGCAGAGAAAGCCACTTGTATCCGGGACCTCGGTCTTTCAGTCATTATCCTGATTTCATTACCATAGCTTAGGTTAGGAACATAGACCGACCGGTAAATTGAGAGCTTTGCCTTATCACTCAGCTCTCTCTTCACCATGACAGACTGGTGCATGATCTGCATTACAGCAGCAGTGATCATTATATCGATCTCGCGCTCCATTCTGCCCTCACTCGTTAACAGCACCCCAAGATACTTCAACTCCTCCACTTGATGAAGCAACTTTTCTCCAACCAGAAGGAGACAAGCCACCTTTCTCCTGTCTTGTAGAAGCTGATCTGCAAATAAATCTAATTAGAGCCATTAGAACCAAAACGGAAACAAACATTGTCCATTAGGGGGAAAACTGCTCTTGGAAGTTAAAAACATTTCCAATAAAAGCATGAGTAGAGCATACCTGTTGCTTTTTCAGGTTTTCGAGGAGCTACTTCTGGATGCAGACTGGAGTGTGAATGCGGGCAGCTGGATGTGGCTGTCCTGTAGTTCATTCTTTCAGCAGTTTTTCCACTGCTACTGCCCCGTGGGCTTCGGCCGACGCACCGACCCCAACGGGGACTTCATCAGGTGGGTACCTTTCCTCTCATCGCCCATTGGTGCCAACAACTGATTCCAACCACATGGATGCTGCCCTTCCTCCCTCCGTCCGTCTCTCTCTCCCTAAACGAGATTTTGTCGGGTGACTTAAGACATGATCAGCCACCTCTAGTCATTAACTCTGATACGATGCCCATATGTAAAGTTCACGCAGGAAAAATAGGGAATATTTTTATATTTATGGATTTAGTTTTCAACCAGCTAATGTAAAATGTAGCCAGTGTTTCATAAGTTTTAATATTATTAAAACCTTATCCTGCATTAATACAAAATTAGGTTCTTAAGACTACAAAATAACATAGTTGTACATAAAGTTCACACAGGATTTTAGGTTTTACTAAATCAAAAAAGATACCAAATACAAAGAGAGAGATGGGAAGGGGGCAAATGAGGGGCCTCCAAATCTCTGGGTAAGTGATGAGATAGTATAAGAATCCTTAAACTTCATTATTTTTATTTTTTTTATGTTTTGCCATCATTTCATCTTTTCGTCTCTTCCAACTTCAGTATGTAGTCTCTGGGATGTCAGGCTTGTCTTTTCTAACAACATAGGTTCTCAGTGTAATTTCAGTTATTTATAAATGTTGGTGATTGTGTATACACACACACATATCAGTAGGTTTATCTGTCACTAGCAGATAACTCACTGCAGAGATATAGATAATTTCCTCTCTTCTTCTGGATGTAGCTCTGTGTTTGTGTTTTGGTCCATCTGTTTTTTGTTTTTTTAATGGGGGGATTGGGGGAAAAGTTCAGCTGTCCCTCTCCCCTGTGTAGATTGTAGCTGATTGCTTTTAAGGTGATTGGCCGTTCTTCAGCCCCCCTACTTCCACCCAGGAGCAGTCTGGGCCCTCTGGCTCTAGACTGCCTTGGATAGAAGTTGGAGATCCAGCTGAGAAACCGGTGGCCGTTTGTTCTCGTTTTACCTGTGCAACCCTGAGGGACGATACTTGCTCACGCCCCAGCAGCACCCTCTGGGCAGGTTTGTGACTCGGTAGCGTCTCATTTCGTCAAAAGGGACTCTGACCGCTTGGTAGGGAAATGCAAACGCCTTGCCTGCATTTCTTGGGTGGAGCTCAAGGAAGCATTTCCTGGAGGGTAGTGAGGAGAGGCGTGAACCGGTTTTTTGTCCAGGCGCTGGGCAAAGCCCCTCATCCAGCCCTTTGTGAAATGTTCAGTGGTGCTCTGCTTATGTGAATGCAGCCTTGTTGGTTCTGGTGGGCCTGGAGCAGCGGCTGGCTTTATGTTAAAACAAAGACATATACAACATATGATATGTGCCACTGCAGGTTATCTAAATAAATGCATACAGTTAGACTACCCTTAACTGTTGAGGGGGAAAAGGTAAAGCAAGCAAAATGCTATTCATTTAAACTCAACTAAAACAAACCATTAAATTCCTGTCAAACAATGTGATATCCTTGCATTGCATCAAATTGGATGGTTATGAAGAGATTTGATCTATTCTGTTGTTTTTAAACTTTTTACACCTTTATAAGGTGTCCTTAAATGCAGAGATTTTAAATAGAATTAATAATAATTAACGTTTCCTTCAAATTTACTTTCAGCAAAAATAAGATTGTGGAATAAAAAAAAATCTAAAATATATTGAAATATTTTTTAAATTGTCTTTATGGGATTATTTTAAGGTGTTCACCAGGGTTGGGTGTTTAGGCCACTTTTCTTTTAATAATTTTTCTGCTCTTTCTCTAATCAATTTTTTGGGCAATATATTCAGTTTTTGTTAAGTAGATTAAACCTAGCACTAGAGACTATAATTATAAACATAGAGCAACTAATGTCACTTCTTTTATCAGTGCGCTACCCTGCAAGCGCACTCCTAAAACAACCACAGCGTTTAGACTCCTCCCAAAACACCACCCGCTGCTCCCCTCCAGGACTACCGGCAGGTCGTGAATCTTCCCGGCAAAAGGGTTGTGGTCCTTTTTGGTGAAATGAGGGGGCTCCCTAGTGGGCCAGCCCAGAGTGTGGTGCTGTGGCTGTGGGGAGGGGACAGTCAGCAGGGGGGCTATAGGCCCACTGACCACTTAAAAGTTAACCACCACAGTCTGGGGGATCGGGAGCATGTGTGAGCTCTTTTCTCAGTCCACCACTGTCTGACCATGGGGGGTGGGGAATGACGGTTGGAGGGAGGGGATGTGGGTGGGGTTCTGGAGCTGTAAGGTATGATGGAAAACTTCTGTCATCTCTTAGAATTTTTTTCCTATGCCACGAAGAACTATAGGGATCGTAGGGGTTTTTAAAATGAATATTTCTCACCAATATTCAAACATAGCTGAGCATCCCTTTTTTTTCCTTTCTTTGCTGCTACTGGCCTCTTTCAACACTTGGGAGTCTGTCTCCATTTCCAGCTGGAACAAAGCAACATAGAAGAATTTTTTTCCTCCCTTTTTTTCTTTTTTGATGGCAGAATTTTTCCAACATATACCTGCTCTCGTTGGGGTGGGGGGAGGGCTGAGGGTGGGTGGGGGTCAATGCTCTCTGCTTTCTAACCGCGTGTTACAGTAGACGTCTCCTAGCAACCTCTACTCAATCGGCAGTGGTCTCTCTCTCTCTCTCTCGAGTGATGGTGCGATCTCCGTAGCAAGCGGAGCGTCGTCCCTCATGTGCGTGCGTGTCGGCCCACTGGGCCGGACCACACCAGTCCCCACCCCTCTCAGCACTCTGCTGCTTTCCACAGTTCCACTCGCCCCCCCTCCTTCTGTCCTGTCAGTCTCCCCTCCTGGGAATAGGTAAGGTTGGACCAAGTCCAGTAGGTAGGTGGCTTCTCTTTGTCACACTGAGCGACTCCTGGCAGCTCAGTGAAATGGTGTTGTGAGAAGTTGATTTTTTGGATTTTTATCTCTTGGAGGATTACATTTGTTTGCCAGTGGCATGGCTGTTGTCACAATGACTTAGTGTAAATGTGTTCTGGACCACAGCCCGTCGTTTTCCATCACGTTTGAAGCCTTAGTTCTCTTTGCACTGTCATTATTTCTCACTGCAGTGCCAGAAATGTTCACTATTGACTTTCAGAACAGAAAGAAAGTATTTACTTCCGACCTATCTTCTACCATAGACATACTATGCAGTGTTGTGGTTGCACCTTTCATTTGGTTGGAGCCATTTTCCAGAGAAACTGTAATTAATCATGAAGCGCAGCCTGATTTCCTTAATTAGAACACAATTATAGGCTGCAAATTTTAAAAATAAATGTGTTTATTTTATTATTTTCTTTTATACATAGTATGCTATGTATAAAAACTATATTCATACATTTTTAAAGCTACATACATTAAATGTAAACACTGGCTCTGTTAATTAGAATATCTTGCAGTTAATGTACTTGTTTTATGCACTGATTACATAAACATGCCTCTCTTAATTCCTGTTGGCCAAAGCCAGAGCTTCTAATGTTTTCCTGTGCTTCCAGGCGATACTTACCTGTCCTCCGAGGTTTCCCCGCCAAGTACATCTACGACCCATGGAACGCCCCAGAATCTGTGCAGGCGGCAGCCAAGTGTATCATAGGAGTCCATTACCCAAAACCCATGGTGCACCACGCGGAGGCCAGCCGGCTCAACATCGAAAGGATGAAGCAGATCTACCAGCAGCTGAGTCGATATAGAGGACTAGGTGAGGAATGATAAGAGCAAAATCTGTTGCAAGCAATTAGTTTATTGCTAAGTCAGTGATGGAGCCATTTAAGGATTTATGTACAGCTATGGTAGAAAGCCTGTCACACGACACATTTTGTCCATTGTCATGGAATCCAAGCTCTATGCACTAAACACTAGGCCGCCACTCCCTACTAATTGAACTATATTGCTAAGTTGTTGTTCAGAGACCCAGAGTGGAGGCTGTGGGGATGGAACCGGGTACTTGCAACCTTCTAAGAGCAAAAGCGCACTGCTCTAAACCCACTAGGCCAACACTCTCCTGAGGTGGTGTCCTTAACCAGATACATATAAGGTGGCAAGCTGCTGTAGCTTTAAAACAAGCCAGCCCTCCCAATACAGTGTTCAAAAATTAGCCTGAGGTCCTTTTGCTTTTATCTGAAAAGTATGACACCTCCTCCTCATCCTATTAAAACATATGGGCTCTGATTTTTTTTTTAATTTTAATTCAGTTTTTTTTAAATAATTATCAAATTTTTATTTTCAAAGTTTGCTAGTTCATATTCTTACTTGAATATAAAAAGGAGCAACAAGTAAAAGAGTGAAATATCCATTACTTATGTAATATACTTAATTCTCCATACTACTAGTTACCTAATGATGGTGTAAAATTAGTCTCCTATGAAAACCAAAGTCTTCCTTCTATGTTGTTAAATATTTAAGTCTGAATCTATTATTTTTAATTGACTTTAGCTCTACAGGTGTTAATTGATGATAATCCTCTAACTAACATACATTTTGCTTATTAATTATTCATACAGTGTAAAATATTACAGAATGAGCAAAGTCTTTGCTTTAATGGGTCATTCATTGCAGCAGCTGTCTGAATTATATCATTTTTAAAAAGGTAAAGATTGGATCTATGTACTGATCTGTAAAATATTGGAACTAAAACTACTTTTTCCTTGACTGAATTTCAGCAAATTAAACTTTCTTCTTCTTTCTTCTTCTTCTTTCTTCTAGGCCTGTTAGCATCTGTCCCATCCACAAATGGGAATGGCAATGGAGGAATGATGGCCTACTCTCCTGGAGAGCAGCAGTCGGGGACCAACAACAATTCACATTGTAAGAGAACGAGGAACAAAGTCTGACCTCTGCTCAGTTATTAATAGGCGTTTCTGTCTTTTTAAAGGCACTGTTGCACCTTTATTTTACAGTGCCTGGAGGCTCAGGTAGCTCTGTGGCCACAGGGAACGGTGGTAGGAGCATCTTATTTAACTTTGACAGTGAAGAACAGACTGAGCCCAGCAATGTTGGACAACAGCGGCTTCACACACTGCCACAGAACCAGCAACAGCATGGTAAATCCCTTTCTGATCTCTGTGAAATATCACATTTGATGTCAAAACTATTGATCTACAGAAAATATCATTTTAGTGTTGGAAATTATAGAGATTGTTTATGTTCTGCCCCTGGATGGTGCTGCTACTTGTTGTGAGTCTTTCCTGAATTGAGAAAGAATTCTATTGAGATTTTTTTTTTTTAACATCTTCTAAATGTGGATGAATGTTGGGCAATCGTCGTTTAGACGATTGAGAGATGAGAGGAGACTGCAGCCAGTGGGGAGAACTTGATTAACATAATTTTATGAAGGCCCAGTAATGCTGAACAGTTTTGTGTTTAGTTTGTGTTCATAAAATGTTCTATATTAAATCTGATTAGTATTTAGAAATATATTTATTTTAGTAAGTCACATTTAAGATGGGGGCATTGGGTACTTATTAGATCCAAGGTACGTTTTTGTGACAGTTGCACTTTTCTTTTTTGTTTACACCTCAAAACAAATGACATTGAGATCTCGGATGGTATTACATGGAAACCATTAAATATTCTGTGTTTTGTAGGATACCACTCAGTGCCAGACGCCAACCAGAACATCACCAGCAGCCGACTCTATCATGAGTTTGCTGTGCCTCAACACCCAGGTGAGAACCAGGTGTATTATAGTCAAACTGAGCAGTGGTTCACTATTATGTTATTTTTGACTGATGCTACATTTGTAAGGCAAGATTTCAGTAAGAACATGTTGGATTTCTCTAATGCAGGTTAACTTCTCTGCCACAAGGTGGCATTACAGTTACACAATCTCCCTGATCCTGCCTGTAGACCTGGGTCCGGTTCACAAAGCAGGTTCAATGAAAACTCTTTTTAAACCTCAAATCAGTGCAACTGAGTTTTTCATTTCACAAAGAGAGTTTACTCAACGTCTGCTTCCGTTGCCATAGTAACATTCTCCCCAGAGCTAATCTGGTCAGGAACAGGTTTTCTTCATTAAACTCAGTGTCATCTGTCTTCTCTGCACTCCTTACAGCCAATCACATTGTTTTATTTCCTGATTAAGTCAGGAGATTTTTAGCATATTTTTTGCATAAAATAAAATAAAAATTATAATTCACTGGGTCCGTTAGACACATTAGGCTATAAAAACTAACACTGCATGCCCTTTTCAGGAGGATCTTATTAAAAAAATAATCAGCATTAACTCACAGAGAATTTTATATTTATTGGGAAAAGATTCTTCAACTCAGTTGACATGATATGAGGTTTATTTTATTTGAAAAACTAAGGAAATTATTTCAGACAACACATAAATTGATCAATAGATTAATTCCTCAGGAAAAAAAATTAATTACCTTAGTTTAGTGATAATAACCTACTGAGCCTATTGGCACAACCTGAAGCCATTCTGTGGGACTGATAACTGCTAATAACGACCATTTCATGGGATGATAACATTCGAAGGGGCTGCAAACAGCCACTTAGTATTTACTGAGTGATGGAAGACAGGATCCACATGAGAAGGAACTCATGAGATGATGAACAGGTCTTACCTGCTAGAAACAACTTTTTTATTTATTTAATCTTCACCTGCTGCCATGTGATTTCACCTAAATAGATAAATTGATCCTTAAACTAGTTATCATTGCAAGGTGATTGATATTTATTGGTTTAAGTTTTTTCCTTGTCAAAATGGCTATGTCAAACAAAATGATGCTCTTCACATCTAGAATAAACATCTAGAATAAACACTCATGATGTCTAGAAATTAATTTCAGATCTCCATATTCCTATTGTTAATGGTAAGCATTTACGTTATTTCGACTACGAAGAACTGTATTTCAGATATCTTAAATACATATTCAGTCAAGCTTATAAATGTCAAAAGGCTGCACTAAATGTGTAAACATTTCTAGATATATAATAATTTCTGCAAAAATGTAATTTAGAAAATCTGTTATTGCAGTTGCGCCAAGTAATGAAATTTTAACCTGTAAAAAATCTTATTTTAGTGAGCAACAAATGGAACAACAGAGGAGAGTTCTTTTAATAAATGTAAAAACGGCCTGCCATAGTGACTTCTTATAAACTTATTAACTGGAGCAGCAATCTTCTTCTATGCTGTCTCCCTCTCCTTTGCAGCTGTAGCACACTTTCTTTCTCCAATTTGTTTGTTTTTTTTTCTATAATATAAGTGTCTAGTTTCAGTGGTGTAAAATAGGCAAATGTGAATTTTCTTTGGAAAGTAAGCTTGTATGAGTGATGCAAACAGCAACTTTTAAACAGAGCGTGCATGAGGAGAAATGGGCTGGTGCACGCTCTCCCGCGCGTTTTATAGACGTTCCATCTCGGGTTGTGCAGGTACTTTTTTTTTTCTTTAAGGTGGAAAGGGCAGGTCGTTACAAAAATTCACAAAAATCCTCCACAATACCTTTAAATGAAATAAACAGAAATACTTGTTGGTCATGAGATGTGTAGTATGCAAGACTCTTACTCTGTCCAGAACAAGGGTCCTGCTCTAGAGCAAATGAGTCGTTACACCCTTCAGACATAAACTCTTATTCATGTTAAAAGATTCACATTTTGCATGCTGAAATGTATGCTGAGGTTTCCGATACAATAAATTAATTTAACCCTTTATACTTTTTTTTTAGCATTTCTGCTTTGATACATTATATAATAGCATAAGCATTTCATGATAAATATCCGTAAATAAAAAATCTTAAGAAATGTCACAGGAATATTTTTCTTAAATGTTATCTATTTTTCAGATCTTTCCTTCTCAATTCTACAATTGTTGTCCAAATATGCCACTTTAAAAGCTTTCTGGATGCCGTTTTAATAGGATTCATTAAACTAAATCTTTTAGCTATCAGCACTGGATGCCTTAAATGCACAGTAGCACAATTAACCACTTTGGCTCCTCCCATCTAAGTGCTGCAGCCACCATATCTGAGAATGCTGAGAATGACTCCCGATTATGTTTTTGCTTCATGGTGTAATTAATTTTAAAAAGTCCCAAGTCCCTTGGAGAATGCATGGTGAACAGGTGCGTCTTAAGGTGCTTGTTGTTACAAACTGGTGAGTTTCATTGTTCTTGAAACCTAGACTGCTAAATAAATTGGACCGCCACATATTCTTTTTCCTGTGGGATTATTTATTTGTGCCCCAGCAGCTGTCTTTAAATGAGGACATTGCTTTACTTTGACACTAACGTTCCATTAAACATTCATCGAAATGCAACTCTTAAATGTATTCATTTTTATTATAAACTGATTTGATAGTGATTACATAATCTTTAGGACCGGCTGGAACATCCATCAGGCTGAAATGCTAGAAAAATGAATGCATCGTTTCTCCATATTATGTGAAGAAATCTGGCGGGAATGACCATTGTTTCTTGTATTTTCGTTGTTGGTTTCAGTTCGTTAAATGAATCAAACAAGGATTGAATATGATACAGAAAAAAATATGTATGGGTCTAATTGATTTACAATTTATGTTGGATTTTATTTTACGCTCTGCGTAGATTATGTTGTGTGCCAGGAACGTGAGCATGCAGCTGAAAGGGAACATTGGCGCTCAAACTGTTAGTCAATAGATGCAGTTTATAACTAAGTCAGCCATTGCCGGGGGCCACAGGCCAGCCCGGGGGCTTTCTCACCTTCTTGCGACAGGCCTGTTCCTGTTGTCTGTCATCATGGTGATCCGTCAAATTGGTGCTCTACTGAAAATGGCTTTTCATACTTGTTATTGACATGCTAACTCCAAGCAGCCTTTGTGAAACCGAAAACCCAAGTTTCCAAACTTTGGCCAGATCAATTCAGAGTTGAGGAATTTAATCTCAGTTTCTTAAACCTCCTTTGAGAAATAAACCATGTGTGTTCCAACATAAACACACCAAGTATATATAAGTTGGTAACTAAAAGTCCTCTGTAGGACTTAGTGACTAACAGACCAGGGGATTTGGAGCATCTAGACCAGGTGTCGGCAACCCGCGCTAAAAAGCCGCATGCAGCTTTTTAGTGCCCCCCCACCCCACCCCACCCCCCCACCCCTAAGACTCACTGGAGCTTTTTAAAAGCAAACAAAAATGAAAACATGGATTTTTGTTTTGCTTTGTTTCTTTAAATATAGTTTGTAGAAGGACAAACAAATTTTTTTTATGTTTTCCATTGCTGTAAAAATGTGTAAACATTTCTGAGACAAAGTTTTACCTGCGACACACATTTCAGTGCCAGCTAGATGGCTGTTGTAAACAAACTGGTGGGTGCACTGTAATTAAATTATATCGGCTTATTTTTGTTTACATAGCCTACTTACCTTATCAAAAGGCTGCTGTTGCAGGCTGCGTTTTATTGCACCGTTGTCTCGATGCGGGGGGGCGGGATTGTATTGTTACTGTGGTTTGAAGAGGAGTGCATTTTATTTCAACATGGAGGTTTGAAACTACAGCAGTCCTATAATGCCTATTCCTTTTATTTTCAAATCCTCTAAATAAAAATAACGCCAAAATCTGATATTTTTATTGTTTTTCTATAAATCCATCGATGCACAATATCATAGTATACTAATACTATAATGGAAAACTTAAAAGCACCAAATATCGTACCGCGGATTATTCACATGGTGTGTCGTTTTTTTCCTGGATGCACTGCAGGGAAACTAAACATTTAATCATGAATGCTTTTTATGTATTAAAGCCTACTTAGCAATTTTGAAAGTGGTGTAATATACACGTAGAGCCCTTAGGAGGCTTATATAAGCCTTTTAAATTGTTGTGGCTCCAGACAGATCTGTTTTATTTGCTCCAATATAGCTCTTTAAACATTTTGGGTTGCCGACCCCTGATCAAAAAAATTCATGAGAAGATGCATTATCCTTTGTTTTGATTTAACTCGTTCCTCATGTCCCCCAAAAGGGTTATTAATAACCCTCACAATATTTTTTCTTTTCTTTCTGGACTTTTAGGCCTCCTTCTGCACACCAGGAGCAGCATCACAGGAAAGCGGGAACGCGAGTCGGAACGGGAAGGATCGGGTGAAGAAGAACCAGCTTCCTGCTCTGGGAACAAAATGCAGAGACAGTGTGCAGAGGTCAGCCCTCTTCTCTTGACAGAACTGTCTTTTTCTTGTGATTGGCATTTTTGAAGTTCTCGTTGGGGCAGAAAGACGAACCTCTTTATTCCTGCAGCCTTCTTTTTCTGCTGTCTACCGGGGATAGAGGTGTTCAGAGACCTGTGTCTCTCAGAATGTTGTTTGTAATATACTGGCAAACACAAGAGGGCGTATGCAATAAAGACAAGCTTAACAGTATCATCGCTCTACATGCAAAACTGGGTGAACCAGCTGATGAAGGGGAATAAGATCATGATCCATGTAAAAAAACATTTCTACATTGCTCCTGTAATTATTTTCTCAGCATCCTAACTAAAAAAAAATGACTAAGGACCTTTTTCTGCCCTTTTCAGGCTCCTCTTGGCTATGCAAGTTTTAGAAACTGATTCTATTGGTTCTGACGGTTCGATGGATGAAATGTTGAAATTCTAAACTCTTCTATCTCTGAAGGTCTGGTCTAGGCCTTGGTCTCGGATGAACCGGTCCCAGTCAGGGATGGACTCAAGTTAAACACTAGTCAAGTTGACTCCATCCCTGCTCTCTACCAACTCATTTTAAACCTCTAAGTTATTGGTGTAGTTTTCATATCAGCATTTCAGCAGAACTAGAAGAGAAACTATTTTCATGTAGAAATTTCTTGACTGGTGACATTTAGCACATCTGAGTTATATAGTAATATTTAGATTTAAAGTATTATAGCTAAGGTAAACCCTGCCCAGATAACATTTATGTCATTTATATGAATATTAATAATAGACATTATAGTTTTTCTTATATTTATACTAAAGTCCTCAGCCGGTAGCATCTTGTTTGCTTCCCTTTTTCAGAGTCTATGTCTGGTTTATACAAGAATTACAACCTGAAGACTTGAACTTGCATTTCTACATGCAGCCTGTATATACCTAGATAAAACAATGCTTTAAAATTTGAAGGTAGAAGAAATGCTGACCATGGGGAGTATTTGTTTTCCAAGTGTTGTAATACTTCTGTGACATTTCCACAAAGAATCACCCTAATGATAGAAGGCAGAGGTCTTCAATGGAGGGGTCTCCACACCCTAGTGGGTCCCAGAGGTACTGCAAGGGGCTGTACATTCTTTATTTTGTTTTGTGTGATCCCTTTAGCCTGGACAAAGTCCCAGGGGGCAGACAACAGATTAGAAAAATGTATAAGTAGAAGTTTACATTCTAACAGATACTCCAATATTTCTTAAACTAAAAAAAAAGTAGATTTTTTTTAAGTTTTACCTTTACAAGGTACAAAATGTTTTCCTTCAGACTGAATAACTGAAGTTACTCTACTCCTTAGGCTTAACAGATTAAAAGGTTGCCAACAGCCCATCCACCCATCTGTCTGATGTTGATAAATTATATGTAAATGTATAAAATGTTAGAAGTTAGCAAGTTATTGTTGTTAGTCATTTTGTTTTATTTTGTATTATTTTCACCTGATGGCTCTCAAAAACATCTCCCATTTGATCAAATGTCCCAAACGTCATGACTCATCATACATTGGTTGGACTTGCTCTTAATCTGGTAAATGAGACTAACCTTTGGAAAAGGTTATGACGGCGGGTTTTCTTTATACTTTGCATAACCATAGATGAGGCAAACTCACAACAAATAGTGACTTCTTTGATAAAGGGAACTTTCCTCTCCCACTTTAAAGTAAATATATTCCATTATTCGCAGTGTTGAAAGCCGAGGGGAGTCATCTAAGCAAATGTCAACCTGTCATAAAGCTACTCACAATAAAAGATACAAAGCAGATGTTTAAATTCTGGACCTTGAATATGGAAAACAGAGACTCCCGTGAAACGTGAAAGCCATGGAAGTGGGAGTGCAGGAAAAAAGGTTGCAGCAAGTTTATTTTCTTCTGAAATGACTTGCACATCACCCATAAGGTATCTCCTAATACAAACATAAAAAACAAGCATACAATTTGTAGTGATTCTGTGTTTTTATTTGCATCTTAACAAAACTTCCATAATGAGAAATGTTTTCTTTACATCTGAGTAATCGGTGGAAGAGGCTTAAGTGGCATTGCAGCACTCTGATGCTTCTTCATTTGCTATCAAGCTTTTTGTATGTTTCTAATAGTGGTTCTGTCCTTCTGATCTTTGGTGATGAGCTCCAAGCCCTTTAACGATGGAAGGCCTGCTTGCCATCACCCTAGTCTTAAAGCACTCGACACAGATTTTCTACCTTGGAAAACATTTTGATAAGATTACTTTAATCTAAATCTAAATGATTTTGGGTCCAACTTTATCAGATCAGCATAAAATGGCTGTCTGTTTTATTATTTTTCTCTACAAACTTGTGTTATCATGTGGTGGGAGCCACCACAGTGGCATTCAACAATCTGGTAATGGTTTTATAGGGAAATAACAATGACCCGCTAAAATAAACAACAAAACCCGCAAGCTTGTTTAGCTGTTTATTTTAGATGATGAGATAACCAACAAGAAATTCTGGTTTGAAAAGGAGACTGGTAGAGTCTTCACTAAAATGGTGGCTAAGTTTGAATTCACGGGCTGCGTCCTCAGAAGGCCAGTTTAGTAGTCCGATTACGTCATAGCGCGGTGCCGAGGTCTGTTTAAAACGCAAGACTCCTCGTTATGCAGCCGACAAATGCATCCTTTCTTTTTGCCCGTTTTTAAGGACTTTCCTGGTGTATCCTACGTAGCCTTTGATATCCTGTGATTCATTGCGAGTCCAAGCAAGCCGGCATCCATGCTCAGAGAAAAAAAGGTACTGGGCGCCGAACAGTGGTGAATATTGGAAGTGCAGTTTAATATAATGCAAGTATGTGAATAGTTCCGTCTGAAATTAATGAAAATTATTGTTTTAAATGGTTATTGAGTCAGATATGTCGCAGGTAATGTTTGGTTTATTGAAATATTTTTATCTGAACCTGGGTAAATGGGTGTGGCATATATTAAAGACAGCTTCTATTATAATATATCTGACGTTTGGGGGCTATAAATCTGATAAGATGCAGCTTTTGAAGCTCCTCGAAAAATTATATTTACACCCAGAACAGCAGTGAGAAGTTCGGTTTTCATTCTTTTCCTACTTTGTGTATAAACTCTCACGGTTGCTAGGCAACAGAGCATATGGTGGTAATAGCTACGGAAGGATGGACCTGTTTGAATTCACAGCCAAAACTCTTCCGGTCTCCTTATTTTCACTGACCTCAAAGGATCCAGTCCAGGTAGACCGGTTTATGGAGGATGCAGCCCTTGAAATCAAACACACCCAGTACCTGTCATTTTCATTCAGGCTGTATCTCAATATGTGTACTTTTGCGTTGTCATGTGCTCGTGCACTCGTGAAATGTCATCAGTCTCAGCCCTAGTACAGTTACAATTCAAAAGAATAGCAGACCAAGAAGGGATAAAGTCCCCGGATGCTGTTCTCGCCCTTCCCTCTGATACAGAGTATGCATCAGAGCAGATTCGTCCATTCTTGAGATTGACAGCTGTCCCAGCATGCACTGCGGCAACAGCAGCTTCCAATGGAGCGCTCACAGAGCTCAGAGTATTAAGTTAAAAGTTATCTTTTCTGTTGCTGTTGTTCAAAATAAGTACATTTTAGGATCATTTGAGCTGAGAACATAATACTTTTAAGCGTCGCTATATGGCTCGTTTACTGATTTAAGAAAATTCCAAAGTTGAGAGAGAGGACTGTGGCAACCAGCGGACCTCTGAGGCTAACGGCAGCCAGGTCTACTCCTAGTTCGTCTGCAGAAAAAATGTACATCTAATTTTCATTTTATGCATTGCTCTCTCTAAGCTCTGTCCTTTCGTTTTCATATGCAGGACATTTCATAAACATAGGTTTCAGTTTCAAGACGTAATACATGGTCACACGCACCTGTTACATGTTTACCAATAATACGACTAATTCATTTCTCCCGTTTCTTCCTGTTTTAATTATAACAGCCACATTCTCTTAAATTTTATAGAAGTCTCTTTGTACTCTTTGTACAGCTCTCATGGAAATGTCATGAGAGCTGTACAAAACGAAATTAATAACAATAAATGTTGTCTAAGTCTCTTCCTGATTTATTTATATCACCAGTTTCTTGCCATATTTTCTTTACATAATTATTTGATATTGTTTTATATACATCTTTGCTTAATGGAATATAAATGTCAACATCTTCATATTTGCTTCATATGTGCTGGAATCCAAACAAATTCTACTAATATATTATTTAAAAGGACTTTATATATACTAGAATAAATACCATTGATGATATCTTTTCTTTTTAAATTATTTGAATCAATACTTAATAGAGCTGTCATATTATCTGACGCAACCAAATAATTTTGACCATTTTGATTTTCAATCCAGTTTAAATTTATAAATATTGCTATTAACTCGACTACATATACTGATAAGTTTTCTGTGGTTCTTTTCTTGATTTCTATGCCTAGATGAGGAATATAAACTGCTAACCCACTATGTCCTGATTCTAGCTCTTTTGATCAATCTGTAAATAAATTTAAAAACGTTGGAATTTTTCCTGTTTTTGGATGCAATCACACTCCAATCTTTTTCATTTCTCTTACAATCCTCATCCATCACTTCATTACCGACCGCAACCCCGTCTTTATTCACTGTCCATTAGCTGTCGACCTCCTATCCAGGCCGTTGATTTATGATGCCGTTTCCACTTCTGACCCCAGACAGGTGAAAAAGTTTATTCTACTCACAGCTCTTCCACTGCAGCTTTCCAAAACATTTTCCACAGTAGCTTTCACACATGTCAGCCTATACATGTTCAGACTGTTTGGCTGGAGTCCAAAAACTTGCAAAAACAATTTTGTGTGTTTAGGAAAGTGTGAGTAGTTTCATTGTGCCGCAAGTAAAAAAGAACAAAGTAAACTGTTTCTATTTCTATAGAAAATTGATGTTTCATCATAGTGTTGAAATACAGGTCCTTTAAAGAAAGAAAAACACATTACGAAATATTCGTTTTTTGTTTGTTTTGTTTTTTGTTTTAAATTACATAAATGGGCTCATCCAGGTATGTTCTTTAGTCAACATAACTGGATGTTTGCTGCAGTTATCACAAATAAATAAATCCAAATAAAAATATGATAAAAGGAGAAAATTTAGTTTTATTTTTTTCTTTTTCAAAAAAAAAAACAATGAACCATGCTATGTTTGTTAATTTATTTATTTATCTATTTATTTATTTATTATGTTTGGATCAACCACCTGAGCTTGAAAACCTTGAGACGACACTAACCGTCAATTAATTAAGCTTGCCATTGCCCATTAGCATTGTTTGGCTGTGTTGTCAGTTTGGCTAAATTTTATTTTCTGTTGAGCATAACATCTTAGTCAATAGACCTACCAAAATCGAAATAGAGTACTTGTCAAAATCGCTACCTTAGTTTAAATATTACTTCTTTAATCATCTTCCAGCTTTTTATTGTCACTACACTGTCACAAGTGCAGAGCAATGAAATTCACTCTTTGCGTTTAATCCATCCCCTTGGGGAGCAGTGGGCTGCCATTGTGTGGCGCAGAGGGAGACGTGTGGGGTTAAGGGTCTTTGCTCAGGGCCCCAGAGTGACAGTCTGTGGGAGTTGGGCTTGAACTCAGAGCCTCAGGATTCCAAGCTCTATGCCCTAACAACCATGCTGACAGATAGTCATGTACTATCTGTGCAGCCTGATCCTCTGCCATTGCCTGTGGTTTTCCTCAGGGTGTGAATTCCATGTAGTAAACAATCTTCTTTCTGCCGTTGGCAGGTCTATTGTCCTCATGAAGTATATTCTGATGACACCATTCTATACACACCTAGTTCAAATAATAATGTTTCATTAACTAATCATTAGCCTTTAACATACCAATACCAAGCTTCACTTTCTTTTTAGTAACCGCAGAATTAACTCATGATTTGTATCTGCAACTTGCCTCTGATTGTTCGTTATGTTAGTTTCTCCACTCTGGAGGGTACAGCATTAGAACCTGTTGGCCCAAAAAGGTATTTATGCATGTGGCTTGATAAAACCCTGTCAGATGACTCATTAAATGATAAAAGCGTTTTCAGTATCATTATTCTGCTATTAAAAAAAAAGGTTGTTAAAATGGGATCCTTTCTTTTTTAAATAACCGTGAGATCATATAAAAAAATGTGAACATAATGTCTGCAGTCCAACTCGTCACTGGTTCTCCTTTTCAAAAGTCACTATTAAATTTTTTTAGCCAGCCATCTTTCTATTTTTAGCAGCATGTTGCATATGCATCCGTGCCTCGTGCTGCACCGTCTTTATCCAATGTAAGAAGAGTTGTTTTGGCTTGTTCGATCAGACGCGACTGGCTGGTTGTTGACATCCGTACTTTGAGATCAATGCTATCATGTAAATTAGCCGGTCGACCCGGGTTTGATGTTCCCATTGTAGACGTATTGGAGCTGGGTCGTTTTACACTCCTCAACACATGTCAGTTATCTGTTCCCACTGCCACTGAAAGCCGGTTGTTCCCGGGTTTAAACTTGTTTTTCAACAAGTTGGAAAAGGGCAAAAGAAACAAGGAGTAAGATTTGTTTTACATAAGTTAATTGCCTGACTCCTATCAGAGTACAGGACCTTAACCCTTTATCATATCTTATACCCGAGTTTTTGAAACCTCTGCATCATCATTGTGATGTTTTTGTTTTTGAAACCCTGACTTACTTAATCAGACACATGTAGAGAACAGAAAACATAAATGATATAGAATGCGTAATGTATCAAAATTTGTTCAAATAAAGGATGTAATTTAATGTATACAAAATGTATACTGTTGTTTCATTCATTAGAAAGTTCAATGACAGTTCTAATTTTGGAAAATTAGAATCTACTGTCAGTTTTCTTCTGAGATGCCTTTTGGAGTATTCAACCATGTTAACCATAAATCAAATGGGTTTTCAAGCCTCTTACTGATATAATTGCCAATGATTTTGGCACTCACTTGGTATGGAGTACTGTAGATCATATCATCATCTACACTTTTCCTGTTGTGTCAATTAACAACTATCTGATTGAGAGAGATGGCTACCTGAGTTAGAAAGACTTTGCCTGTGTTCACTCAACTTTTGGTACATGCCCACCTAATTCTCTATTATAGCCCAAACACAGACATGTTAGCAACAACGTCTCAGTCTGACCAGGCCTTGTTTTGAATCATTAGGATAGTTCAATCGGAGAATCATTTTTGATCTTCTATTTACCAAAGCATTCTGAGGCAAACATAAGATGGTAGATCTGAGACTTGAAACTCGGACCAAACCAGACCAAAATCCAGACCTTGCCCTGAACTCAAAAGCTGTGACAGGAGCTTAAAAACTCTTTAATAAATACATTTCCTTAAACCTTATCTAAATAAATGACATTAAACGGGTGGATGTGAATGCCTAATCATTCGGAAGATGATTACTATGGTTTAATTGTTTATAATATCAACAGTATGATGGGTTCCCACTTGTTCTCTGAGTTTATATTCTTTTATATTCTAAAGGAAACTGAAGAACCTGTTTTTGTTTGTTTCTTTGTGTTTTTTTTTTTTTTTTGTGGGGGGGGGAGGTGTTGCATGAAGTACAAAACCAAAAAAAAAGGGCCCTTTTCAATGTTTTAATGTCTCTACTGTGGTCTCTCCCTACAGACTGTTCAGGCCTGATGAAGAGACTGCCTGCAAAACCTCATCATCTGGTCAGCTGTTTGAAGAAATGCCCAGCACCCAGCTCCCCATCCGGACATAACTACCTACCTGTTCAACCAAACACACAAACACTATGTCTTTATTTTATTCTTATCCAAAACTCCCTGAGATATAAACACAAAGGTGAAAATGGGATAATCTTCTACCCAATCACATTTTTTTTTTTTTTTTTTTTTTTTTAGAAATAAGTTCTTAAAGGTGGGACAGCATTAGAAGAATGTACTAAGAAACAAAATGCCTCAAACCTGCAGCTTGGTTTGAAACCTTGTTCAAAATAAATATAAAACACTTCTGCCACCAGCCAATCCAACTACACAGCCAATGAATGCATCTATGATTGCAGTAATGGTTCAATCTTTCCCACGCTGCTTTGCACTATATATGAAACCCTTTCCACACCAGTTTGCATACAGCAGACTGCTAAACCAGTCACCGTCAACAGGCCCTAAATTAAACCTATCAAGAACACATAGTTACAGGATGTTCTTTTTTTGGGTTTGAAAGGAAAAAAAAAAAACATTCCCTGAAGACGGTTTCTTTTTTGGCAGAAAATAAAAATGTTGGTATTCATTATTGGGCAGTTTTACATTGACATGCAAAATATTCTCAACATACAGGAGGTTTTTTGCCCTTCCTTTTTGGCTTCAGGCATATTTATAGTGACAACCAGGCAGGTACTTTCAGGGACTTTATAAGAATAATCTAGCTATTTTCTCTGTTTTTAGTTTTTCTATAAATACACTTTCCATTAACATAAGGTCCAACTGATGGCAAAGTATTTTCCTGTTTGGAGTTTAGCCTTTGGGGGCAGCTGCTGGCTGTTTGGAGAACATTTATTGGCAGCTAGTGACTGAAAGTTGATTTTCTTTGGAGGTTTTAAGACACAGGAATAGGGTTGTCACGATACTAAACTTTTCAACTCGATACCGATACTAAGTAAAATATTCGATACTCGATACCATTTTCGATACCACAAGAATAAAAACAAAAACTCTAAAATTCAACAGAAATATTTTCATTACTAAAAAAATACAATAAATAAATAAAAAACAATAAGAATAATATTTTGAGGTTGTATGCTGTGCATAATATTAGGCAAGCTTGATAAAAAACTTACGAAATTAAAATTAAGTGTTCCTTCCTTGGCTATGTTTTGCATACATAACAATGACACTAGCCAAACCAGTTAAACAAAAATAATTCTCAGCAGCTGCAACGGTTACAAAAAAAGTCTGAAAAATGCACGGAATTATTCAATCACACAGTGTTCAGAACATGCATTTTCCACTATTCTGCACTTTAGATGGCTATATTGATACTTTTGAAAATGAGTATTGTATCCGGATACAACGTTTCGGTATCGATACTTTTTTGAGTATCGATACTTTTGACAACCCTACACAGGAATGAAACTAATGTGACAAAATGTGTAGCAGAGCAACTCCATCTGACCCATTCCCTTCCTGGTCTTGGAATGTTGTCACAGCGGGTTACTACAAATTAATTGAAAATAGTTTTTAGTTTACTTATGCTGTAAAAAACAACTGCCTTTTTTTAAAGAAGTGAAATTATCTGTGATTTTTTTTTTCTTTTTTTTTTTATTTATTCTTTTTGATGTCACAGTGAGACATCGGCACCAAAACCAATAACTGTAGAGAGATTGAAATTAATATTCAATTAATTCAAGTAGGTAATAGATTTCTTTCTCTGCACTTTAATTAGTTGTTTCAGATTAAAAATCTTGCTGCTAGTTTAAATACACCAGTATTCCAACCTCTTTATTGTTGAAACATTTTTTGTCTTTTCCACCATTATATAGCTTCATGCTGTCCTTTATTTAATCTGCTCCACTGTCTCTAATTCAAATTCCATAGCATCCAGTAGGAAGGTTATTGCTTTTCACCCTAAAGGCTATCTGTCTAAATCAGCTCTGAAACTATTTATCACCTTCACCCACCTTCTGTTCAGCCCCACGCCTTTAACGGTTCACCTTAAACTGATCCGCTTTCTTAACCTGTCTCCCTCTCATGCCAGAGACTTACTGTCTTCTTCCACCTGCTCTGTGGACTCTCCCTAAAAATCTCAGTACACTTATCAGATTTGGAACAAATCATTCATGTAACTCGTCTTCTTTTTTTGTTTTTTGTTTTTGATTTGCTTACCTGTGACATAGGAAAAAAAACAGATGTGTTTGGTGCTCTGGAGCTCGCTTATAAGCCAAGGAATACTTCATTTTCACTGGAAACTGTTTGTTTTTTTATTTAGACATTTTTTGAGCGGATAAGTGAATATGGAATTAGAATAGATCTAATTTGTTTTTTGACAATTTTCAAAATCATTTTAGGGTTTAATTAGAGTATACCGGAGTTATAATGGAGATCTCCATTAAAACGTTCCATAGATGTATTAACACAAGTATAAAATAGTCCTTCTTTTAACTGATCCTTAGGATTTTATTGTTATTATTCCAAATTTTATTCTTGTTATTGGTTTTTGGTGTGGAAGCCCACTAATGATGAAAAACGAAGGGTGTCACTAAATCATCTCCCCTTTTTTTTTTTTTTTTTTTTTTTTTTTTTTGAAAGATGTTCAGATTCAGCTGTAAATATTAAATAGCTTTTATCTTCTTTGCTGTCTCAATGGGGGGGGCATCTGACTACATATTTTACTTAAATGCTCTGGCTTTATTTTTCATAAAAGCATTCTTTTTGTGTTTTTTCCACCTTTATGCAATACTGTTACAGTATCTTGGTTTTAGTGTTGACCTGATCGTTCAAATTTTCACCTTTCTGTTTTTCTCTCCAAAATCTTAGTGAATAACTTTTGTCAACTGGAAAAAAAAAAAAGAAAAACAAAAATCAACCTTTCAGGGGATTGTATCTTTGTACTTAAACTCAATTCAATCCGGGGGGCTTAGATGACAAGCAGATGGTTGCAGTCTCTTCTAAAAATGTGTTACTTTTTGTAAAGATTTCATATAAAAACCAAAAACTTGCTCAACAAAAAGATTCAAGCACCGAGTTGATCTTAAGTAAATGTATCGGCGACGGCATCTAAATGAGCCTGATTCCGTCAGAAAAACAGAAACCGACATTCCTTTAGAATAAAGAAACCCTACATGTGAAGGATTTTTACTAGTGGACAAGAAGTGAAACCACAAATGAACAAACATGGCTTCTTGTGATGTAGTGCAACCCAGAATTGGCCTAACTTGTATGAAGCTGTTGATTTAAAACAAACAATAGAACCCTAAATGGCAGGATTTTAATCCCATTGATAACAAAAAACTGAATAGAGACACAACAACATTACAGCAAAAAGTTGCAAATTAAATCTGATACTTTATCCAGATGTCATCCCTCCTGTACTCCGCGTTCGTTGGTAGTCACTCTAGTTTCTCACAAAGATGCACACTACAGCAATGCACACTAAACTCTGGAAAACATCCAAGACACTGATAATGGACACACCTACATGATAAAAGGAGCCAACCAACACACATGGCAAGATGTTTTTCATGCTTAGACATGATAGAACAGAAAAGTCACGATGTGCATCTTGTCACCAGAACCTGTTTTGTTGGAATAAAAACAGGAATTGTCTAAATTTAAAATATCCGTTATCTCTAACTGTTGATAGATTGCATTCAACTCAACAGTGGAAGAATCTGTACTGCTGTCTATTAACCGATCTGCAAGCCAAAAATAAACATCTTTTCCTCTTAGGCTTTAAGAAAGCAAGTTGTAAAAATTGGATGACAGTAGAAAGGTTAAATCTATTTTCAGTGGATGTTGAAACTAAGAGTTTTATAGCAGACCAAGAGTTCATGCTGTCTTTCAGAATCCTGCAGATCAGGACTGAATATGGCGGTTTGTTGCTGCTCTATAAGAATGTTTTGGTCCCGATGGAGCCGTGGTGACTCGTGTCTCTGTACAGTATTTGATATTTGTTCATCTGTGGTTGTACTGCCCTCAGCTTCAGGAGTAATGTAGAGGGGATAGATGGGTGGGCGGGGGATGTTATAAAGATCTAGTCTTTCTGTATTTTAATTCTGTATGTTCTCAAAAAGATTCAAACATTGTTAGATTTTTGTAGCTTTTATCACAATAGTGAAAACAAGTTGAACCAATTTTTATTCCTGATTTTTCTTTTCCTATATTTTATTATTATTATTGTCTGTTTGTTCCCTTCTGTGACAGGAAGGTGAAAAGTACACCATCTGTCATCTCTGTAAGTACTATGTTCTCTCTGTTTCTCCAAGTGTTGTAAAAAGTAAAAAAAAAAATAAAAAGCTTTCTTGTGCTTGATAAAGATCATGGCGGGGAATTAAAACTGCTACAACTTGACTCTGTGTTCCGTTTCTTGTTTTTCTTTTCGGATTCTCTCACACTGATGCAAATCTAAACTGAAACTTTATACTTTTACTGTGAGGTTCATCAGTCAAGATTTTATTTTTTTTTTATGTAGCCATTATAAAACACCGTTCTAATTTAATTTCTTAACTGCCATGAAGGCAAAAGTGTGGTACAATTCTTCGAGCTAAATCTATCTAAAAATCAAACATGAAACAATTTAACAAAATGGCACAAAGGTGGTCTGTGATTTATTCTAGATCAGTCATCACAGATCCAGGTAGCGTTATCACAGATCCTTCCTCCCAGCAGCTGTAAGACTTTAAACCCACCACTGTTCCCAACAACCTTAATAAGTTGTTACATTCACAGTTTCTACCTTATCTACTTAAATAACATGCTGATTTCCTTTTGCACATCTCTGATATTGCTGCTGTTTTCAAATATCCATTACTGTAAAACTATCCACAGCTGTATATAAGTTATTTATTCTTCAGGTGAACAGTATTTATATGTTAAAACACTTAACAGTACAGTATTTGTTATGTTGTTCTTATACACCAAGGTCTACATTGTGTGACCATTTTTCCTATAATCTTTTTGCTGCTGTAAACAGAATTTCCCTATTGTGGGACAGTAAAGAAAATTTCTATTCTATCATTACATAACTTTATTTAAAAGGAATAAATAAACATGCCTGTGCAAATTCTTGTTGATCTGGGTCGAGGCAACAACAATACGTGCTATAATAAAAGGCAACTGTACTTTTGCTCAGTTTTTCAGGAACCATATTCAGGAGTCTTTTATTTCTGTCCGCCCACACGAGAGCAAGCTGTAATTGGAGCGCTGATGTCGTCAAGCAGCATGGAGGGCCATGCTCTAACTCGATAAAAAAAATAAAAATTATTCCCCTTGCATGAAAGGATTGTGTTTAAAAAATGTAGTTGCTCAAATTCTTTGGGAATTATTTTTGTTTGACCTACGTAACTAAAGGTGAAAGTCTGAATTTCAACTGCTTCTGAATTGTGTTGCTCAACATTTATTGTGTTGATGTGAAGAACCATAATTAGGAAATCTTGTCTCCTTCCAAATATTCATGGACCTAACTTTACATCATTCCTGGCGTTAAGGCACCTTGAGATCTTCTGCAAT